GGAAATTGCGAAAGAAGACGAAATAAACATAAAAAAGGAAAATCCAAATTGTTCAACTATTCATATGCCTATCAGGGGCGGATTTAGGTTTTTCTCGAGGGGGAGGGGGGATTTTCAAAAATTTTGTCGACGTTTTTTTAGGTCGACCGAATTGATTTTCCAAGCTCTCCCAAAGCAGTAAAATCGTTCGGTCATATTTTTTGCGCCGCAGGCAAAATTTTGAAAGAACAGGCCAAAATGGCGTTTTTAGGCACTTTTTGGAAAATTTTGACCAAAAAAGCGCGCTTTTTCGGCGCGCTCTCCCTCTTCAAAATTAGTATATATTAGCGCCAAAGGCGCATTTAGAAAAATTTTAGAGTCCGCCACCAAATGTGGATATCTCAAAATAGTACAAAAGAAGAACCACACCACCCAATAGCAAAAGGGCGGGACATTTCGATCCAAAAAAAACTCACATATGTTTGACTGTTAATTTAGCTCTAGTATTGGTTTTATACAGAAGCTTTTTTTACAAAGGGGCTAGTTGGAAAAATCCAAGCCAGCAACTGCAGCCCAAATTCAGCTTAGGCATTCTCCTCCAGCTGATTAATACTCGATCAGACTGAACTTTTGAGCTAGACCTTTAAATTTTTACTATATAAAAAAAAGGTCTAAATGAAATTCAAAACGGGTTTTAGACGGACCAAAAGGTTATTTTGAAAAGCGACCGAAACATTATTTTGTCGTTTCATTCTTATCTTGTGATCATTGCCTACTTGATGGTAGAGTTCAAAGTTATGCAACCAAGATTCTTTGTTTGCCATTTGAAAAAAAAACGTTAAAACAGAAAGATAAATGAGGCGTGAGATATTTTGTAAAATCTTTTTTCCCCAAATACCTGCACATGAACCCAATAGAAGATCGCTTCTGTTCTAAACAGACTTTGTCCACGGGGCGTCTAGGAAAGGCAACAGGAAAAAACAATAAAATCTTTATTTTCAAATTTAACCCAAGGGGTCTAAGCGACTGGGCTCTTCTGTCATTGTATGTGAAATTATTTTCTCATGCGCATGTCGCGGTCAAAATCTCCCTTTAATTCTTTTATATAGTAAGCCCGTTGATTTTAATACATCTACATTTTGAATTGAATATGGAAAAATTCACATGGAATAAGGTTAAAAGAAAACCCACAATCAACCCGGGACTAAATAAGTCTTCAGATGAACGTGAAAAACAATTGTATTTCGTCTTGAAATTTACCAGTGTCAAATTGGAAGAATCCTCTTAAATTATAAAACAAGGACAGTTTTTTTTTTAATTTTCTCAGGTTCAATTTTTTTTCAGCCATTTTTAACCGAGTGAAAATATGCAAGATAGAAAAAAAACAAATATCGCAATTTCTTTTATTGTGGCAATTTTTTGAAATAAACGAGGAATACATTAACTCAGTTTTTCTTTTCTAATTTTGCATTTTCTGATCAATAGGTTTTCTTCAATTGTTTGAAAGGCCTTTTATTTTGATCAATTTAAGTCGCGCTTCCTTTTATAAGAGCGCGGAACTTTTTTCGAAGTCAAAATTGATTTCGGTTACAATGCAAAGACCATAATTCTTTTAAGATTGAATATTTTCCTGCATTTCATCAATATTCATCTTATCTTATTTGAACTTCCCTAACTTTCTAAAAAAAACTAAATGCTCAAGTGGAATTTTAAAAAATTTATTTAATTTGTTCAGAACCGTGCAATATTTAAATTTGAGACGTTAAGAGCACTTCTTTTGACATATAGAAAAATAGCAGTACATGTCTAGAAGCTAAACAACAGCCATCCCCCCCCCCCCCCACATTTCCTCGTCCCGTACCACCCGACATCCGAACTACGATTACTCCTTAAGGGTC